GTTTCTGACCGGAAACGTGCCGCCAATGTGGGCCGGCCGATAGGAAGGTCAGTGCCTGCAGGAGCTGGGCCCTGGGGTCCCCAGTCTGTCTCTGTCTCTCTGGGCCTGGCTCCTTCCCTTCCCTTTGATCCAGCCTCTCTGCCCTTTGGCCCGACGAGGAGGATCTGGTGAAAAACCCGGGCTTTCGCCAACCTCGTGGTTTGCTCAAGATGGACAACAGGAAGAGGGTTGATTGTGGAGAACTATCACCTCTTCCACTCTCTGTCTCCAAATGCTGCTTCACTCAAAAAGACAGCAACCGCAGGGACCATCCAAACACAAAAACAAAATGCTGCCAATCCACAACAGCTCTGCACTGATCCCCGAGAGAGAGCCTTCCCTGTTCACAGATTGCTGGCTGACGCTGCTGCCCACTCTCTGCATTTTATTTATTTTAGCCTGTGTCGATCATTTCCCACACGCGTAATTCTCCCATTGTGTTTTCTTTTCCTCCATGAAATTAGTTTTCAGCACTGTACGGGGAAAGAGAGATGCTAATTGGAACCTGAGCTAACAGGGGAAGAAAAGCTTTCACTGACCCTGTTGTTACAGGAAGGTGGTGATTGACTGGAGTCGGTTGGGGGTTGTTAAAAAAGCGACTTCTGAAATCATTAAATTTGGGATGCAGCTCCAGGAGAGGCTGTTGGATTGGTGAACTATGATGGTCTCGTCCATAATGATCTCATTATTCCCTTCACAGAACACGGTCCTGCAGTAGAATCGGAGTCACTCATGTTGGTTGCTGCACTCTGAAAAGGGTGTCCTTCAAATTTGAAAAAATTCCAAATCGTACCTGATTATATGAGTGTTTCAGTTACAAATCTTAAATTGCTGTCACTGTCATACACCAGAAATTTTAGATGATGTAATAATTCTGGTCTTAAAAATAAAAGATTTGCTCACAGCTCAGTGGCATGATTGCTGGAATGTTCTGGGGACCTGCATGTGAATCCCACCTTGGCAAATTCAACTCAATATAAATCTGGAATTAAATATTGAATGATGACCATGAATCCATTGATGATTGTTGGAAAAATCCATCTGGTTCACTTACGTCCTTTTGGGAGGAATTCTGCCATTTTTACCTTGTCTGACCTACATGTGACTCCAATGTGGTTGACTCTTCACTGCATTCTGGCAATTTGGGATGGGTAGTAAATGCTGGCCTGGCCAGTAATGCCTTCATCCCATAAATGAATAAAAAAAAGTTTATGCTAAATCAAGATAAAAATAAATCAGGTGATTTCTGTTTGAACATTATCAAAGCAGATCTGTGAGGTTTGAGATCCTTCTGTCATGGTTAATGAGTACTTTTATAATCTGCGATCAGAAATGTTTAGCATCTCAGTTTGCTTGGGTGTTTCTTGCCTGGTATATGCGCTCTTCTCGTTGGACTAATGTTGCCTTGTGGAGAAATAAAATTGTTTTCTTTTTCCCCGGTTAAAGTATGAATTTCTGATCATGGACCAAGCCAAAGAAAAAAGTACCATGGTGGATCCTTCAGAAATCATTCAGAAACTGCACCTAGCAGGCAAAAGCAGAATAGTGGAAAAGGATTCTCATCAAGGAATGCGAGTACCAGCAGCTGAGCATGTTCTCAGGAAAATTTTAGGGGACTTGTCAAATGAGAAACTGATGAGACACAAAGGATCAATTTTAGATGATGCAAGGGATTTGTTCCTACAGGCTGACCCTGCCTGGCTTCTTGACTGCTGCCAGAATGATATGTCGGACATTGTTCAAATGTACGTCAATTTCACAGCTGCCCTGATACAGTACTCGGGACTGCCCCGATGTGAGACCGACAGTGGTGAATTACCTGATGATGCATATGAACTGATACCTGAGAGGGCCTGCAATGTGGCCCAAACCTTGAAAGCTCTCCTCAGTAAACTGCAGGCAAGGCCAGAGCATGTGATGCCTCACCTCACCATGGTTTCGCCAGAATCTGTTCTGAGAGTCATTGTGCCGCAAATGGTCATTTTTTGTGCTACACACTGTGAGGAGAAGCCGTGGACCAATGCAGCGTCTCGGCTGGCTGCAGACGAGCTGTTGGCAGCTACAGTGCAGGCAGTGGGGTGCAAGACTGTCACACAGCTCCTGTGTGGTTCAGAGGAGGAAGGCAGGGGAGCTCTGGGAGCTGTGCTGCATCTGATGAAACCACAAATGAACAAGTGAGTCTGTTTGTTGGCATTGCTGCCTGTTTCACTGATGGACCTTGTAATTCACCTTGACTGAAAGAGGGGTGGGGAAAGATCAATGAACAATTCATCCCCCTGCAGGCAGCTGGTACACTGTGTAATTCTGTGCTGAGCTGTGTTGATTATCTGTGCTGGTGCTGTAGCCAGAACTTACTGTGCATCCATCCCCTGCTTCAGGCAGGAAGCGCAGTCTTTCAGTCCCTCTCCTCCAGTTGTGATGCTTTCTCACTGGTGGATGTGACGGGTCACTGTACATTTTGTCATATATTTTTGCCCCCCAATTTTGAACAGAGAACCAGTAACTGATTTGTGTGTGCAAATTTCTACAGAAACACCTGGAAGTTGAGTCCAGCCACAAAACATGTATTTTGGTGGCTGCTACAGAAGGTGAGGAGACCGTGGCTGGCTGAGCACCTGGACGTAGTGCTGCCACCATCCCTCCTTTTCTCAGACGACTACAGGACAGAAAATAAGATACTGGGCGTGAGGTGTCTCCAGCACATCATTGACAATGTGGTACGTAGATGTCAGAGAGTGGGGATTGTGGGGTGGAATGGATCTGGTGGAGGCCTGTGCATGCCAAATCACAGGAGAAATTCTGCTTGAGGTGTTTCCTACCAAGTACAAAACAGGCTGAGTCAGTCAGGACCGAGACAGTCCTGCAATGATGGCAGTGCCGACTTTTAAGATCAGATGTTAAACACAGCTTCATGTTTGCCCATTCCAAAGGTTTCGTGGAGGTAAAAAATTCAAAAGTACAACACATGAAGAGGGATTCTCCCAGTATCCCGGTTATCATTCATCATATTCTGCATTTATGGGAGTTTGCTGTGTGAAAATAATCTGTTGCATTTACAGCAGAACAGCAACACATCAACAGTAATTAATTGGGTATGAAGCACCTTAACATGTTTAAGATGCTATAAAAATTACTTCTTTCATTTCTCAACTGAAGGAATGTTCTTTTCACCTCTGCAATGCGGCAGAAATGATGTATTTAATCAGCAATGTGTTGCGTATCGATGTAATGTTGGAGTCTGGGACAGGGAATTGTTCCAATGCATTCTCAAACTGAGCTCAGGACACAACTGCCTTTCCTGTGGGGAAGTGAAGGCGAGTGTTCTAAAACGGACGCTGTTTGACTCAGTCATCTTCCAGTTCCTGAACCCTAATTGTTGTGTTGGTACGCTGGATTGGACTCAGATTGCAAATATCCCTGTGCCTGACAGCTTTCTGTTTTATGTTTCAGCCTGCTGCAGAGCTCCTGCAATATAACCGGGCACAGGTAGTATACCATGCTCTCTACAGTCACTTGTACACTCCAGAGGCTTCGCTCATTCAGGTGAGTGTGTGCCCTGCCTGGAGCTGATCTTCATTTCTCTGAAGCTGACACGAGTCCTAGGCCAGCAGTTACAGGCACCCAGCTTTCAAATCTTATCAAGTACTTGTTCATTTGTACAGGATAGAAACAGAACTGTGACGGCCAAGTTGTGCAGGTACTGAATTATATATGATCACATGGGTAAATAGATAATGGAAAGATTAAACTGTTTTATCACTCAATATTAATGGTTCTCTTCATGGTAGGCACTTAATCCAATTTACATCAATGAGTTTGGGAAGGCTGCCGTTGTTTCCTTCTCCTTTGACTGGAATTACCAAGGCAGGACTTGTCATCTATTAACCCCTGTCAGTTCAAGGCCTCCTCTAGCAAACAGCTTCTAAACTGTACGTTAATCTGAGTTACAGTCTTTACAGCTGTATAGCAGTCGACATAATTCCAGTGTCATGCAGGAGATCAGTTCTGACCTAAGGTCATCAGTCTGAATGAGTACTTCAATTTCTCAGGCCTGTGTCTTTGTGGATGGTGCCCGAACTCTTATTTCTGGTTTTGTACAAATGGATAATTCCGGACCTGCACTGCAAGCGGCAGTGTGACTGACTAATAACTGGTTCCTTGTCTGTTTCAGAATGTGCTGTCCTGCTTACTTGACCTCCTTCCACTTATCGAGAAATCACATGTCATCCGTGGCCAACAGAGAGCCAATCACTATGACAAAGTGTTCTGCCTAATTCTTACCCACATGGAGGTTGAAGATAAGATCCCTCTGCGTAGAGTGTATGCCCAAAATCTGCCCATTTTCACTGAGAGGTTAGAACTGCTGATTTGTATTGGCATTATCATTGTTACATCATGCTGGTTTCTGTGGTATCCCCCGGCAGAAGCAATGCATTCCTGCCGCTTTCCCCTTAGCATACATGGATTGCCTCTCCATTGCTCAGTGCTTCTGTGCACAGCTGAGTCATGACATGGAATCATATGGACCCAGGGGCCTACGTTTGATTGTCCAGGGAGAGGTGAAGTGTTTAATGGCTCACTACAATGAGTCTCCGGGTACCCTCCAGCGAAGGCTAGGATGGGTGGAAATCGGATAGGATTCCTGCCGGTCACAGAGTAATCTGGTTGCAAAAATATGTTAGAAGATGTTGGGCGAGGACAGAACAGGGACACAGTAATAAGAGCCGACTGTGCTCATCCTTCGCCAGTCAGCACACACGAAACATTCTCATGCTGACTTAAATTGTGCCCCAACCGATGAGTTAGACATTCAGGAGAAGGGGAGGAAAATGAAGACAGACGCAACATGAGAACAGCTGACGTCTTTGTCTTAATCTCCGAAGAGAACATTGAAGACATGTCTGTCTGTGTCTCTCATTCACTTGTCCTCCAACACACAACACCAACAGGATACAGATCACTCAACAACACTGTTTGTTTATGTTGCCAGGCTGGGCATTATGGTCGTTCGCCACTTGAAGCGTTTACAAAGAGTGATTCTTGGATATCTTGAGGTGTATGACGGACCAGAGGAAGCAGCCAGGCTTGGTGTTCTCCAAGCATTCCAGAGTATGATTCAACAGGCCTGGCCCAGGTATCACTGAAACCAAAGCAAACCTTTGAGATTTGTACATCTTGTTGAGACAGTTAAACTTCAACCTTAATCATTCTTTTTTCTTGTGTTGGACAGAATGTCCATAAGGCTGGAGGTCTTGCTCAAATCCTTACTGAAATTCATATATGATATGGCAACTGACCAGGGCCCAACACCACCACATGTGAAGGAGGAGCTGTTGCAAGATGCCACCCACTGCCTGATCCTTCTTAATCGCTGCTGTGAACGCAAAGTGACAGTAAGTTAGTTTCTGATGGTCTCTTGGGGGTTGGGGTAGGTTGCTTAAATTAGAGAAATGAGCTCATTTTCAGAGAATATCCCCCATTCACAACCAAAACACAGATTAACCATTATCACGTCCAACACAGGCATGCAGACTGACATTTCCAAATTGAACTGAACATAACCCCTGTTGATCCATCGTAAATTTCACAACATACACATTTTATTTGAAGATACACCATTTACAGTGGTTTGCTTAGCAAAGAATTTTAAATATTGAAACATTCTACCACTTGTGGGAACACTGCTTTGGAATAGCACTGAGCCACATCCACCAACACAGACACTGCAGCAGTGGGTGGTTTAATCTGTTTTTGCTCTTCAGGTTCTCCTGGAAGGAGTACGCCAGAGCTGCAAGAATGCAACAGTACTGGACTGTCTGCAGAGAGTGCAGCAAGATGTGTAACAAATCACAGTAACTGTACAAAATCTTAATAAACTAAAGCAGAAAACATCACAGTCTCCGAGTGTGCAAATATTCAGCAAAAGCAGCTATTCAGGATAAACAATACAAGCTGGATCCGGGCATGGGGTACAACCCAGTAACACTCACTACAGCCACTTTAACATGTTTCCTCATCATTGCTCAGGCTCAGATTGTTAGTGCCAGTTTGGGGTCAGACTTGACTTAATGCCAGCACCTTCCGTAAATTATGGATCATGCCATTTCACAGAACAGAATGCTCCAATGCAGTAATGAACAAGTGCAACCTTACAGTGAGGTGTTAAACTGAGACCCCCATCTGCGTTCTGAAACTGATGTCAAGAATCTCACAACATGCTTTTAAAGAACATGTGTTTTTGGTGTCTTGTAACATTAATGAAGCACATGATTACAATTTTGTTTTGCGGACGGTTGCTGTGCGCAATTGGCAGGTGTCTTTCTGACACTACAACAGTGACTGTATTTAAAACTTCTTAGTTTCCTGTAAAAACTTCTTCAACTCATAAAAGGCACGAAATTTGTGCTTGATGTCAATGTACAGACAAAAACCTTCAACTCTGAATCTAACTGGACCTGTTCTGACCTGGTGAGAGCTTGATAACTACAGTGAAAAACAGCCATGTTTCCAAAACCTATCATGGCACCGACCAGGCATGACAATTCCTTCTTCACTGTACAATGAAAATTCAACTTCCCATGAGGGAGGAAATATCAGAATCTGATGCCACCCTGTGTGTAGCTGCAGTTAATCACCGACAGAACTCCTTGCTTTGCAGCAGTAGTGCATCAACCTGGGAGATTCTGGTTTGTGTGCATTACCAAGTACTCTCCCATCCACTTAGACAGCCACTCCAAGGATTTTAAAGAATGCAAGAGTTTTCTGAATCTTTTGCACATCCGTTTAACTGCACTTAAGAGACCCAAATCTGATGAAAATACAACACATTTAATTGAAGCCCAAGATCAAGGAGCTTTTGTCAAGTCAGTGGCATAGCAGTTCAGGATGGACAGATTTCCACTGGCAGCTAACCAGATAATTGCTCCAAAGACATTTCTAGGACTATGGAAAAGTCAGTCACATCCTTTATTCATAGTTTTATACAAATGAGAGCAATTAAAACGAATGGAGAAAACATAAACTCACAGTTGACATTAAGAATCTTGAACAATAGTTCTTGCTTTCTGCAGTCAAGACCATGATAACTGGAAGCAGCAATGAAGCCCGTCACAGAGGAGACCATGAAGTTGTTTTGCTTTACAACGTCTTTACAATGGAGTTAACACAATCCTCACCTTCAGTACAAGCAGCATTACAAAGCTGTCAGGAGCTAGTCACTTTGGCTGCTTGTTCTGTTTCCTGTTCATATTCAATTTCCACGTATGGTCGCTTCTTCTGGGCTGGGCCTTTGACTGGTGTTTTGCCCTTCGACGTGGAAGTTTCTTTCTCCGGCTCCTCTGCAGCGCTGGATTGCTCCTGCTCCTCATCGTCTCCTTCCAGCCTGTCCATAGCCTGTGTGTGTGTGTCAAAAATCAGTTCCAGTCAGCTGGTTGCAGCATCTTAACAATATATGCATTGTATGACAATAGTACATATACTGCTGCACACAGAGCAAAGAAACAGCCAAGCTTCTCAAAAACTGCCGAGAGATTTCCTGTTTGTTTCTATCACATGCCCATCCCTTTAATCGTAAAGCTCCCAGTGGGACAGTTCGGTACTTCAGCCACATGGCTACCTCTGATATGTCGACCGAAATCAGGAATTGCAAGCAAGCTGCTGAAGCAGCCAATGTATCACAGGCGTTTTATCCATGCCCCACGCAAACATGCCACCTGTGGTGAGCAGAAGCAGGAATGCGGGCAAACTTTAATCAGATTAATTTCACAGAAGGACAAAAATGTTACAGCACCACTGTTGTGTCTATGCTGCGTAAAGACAGTGTCTCTTTTTGCGTTTTTTACAACTGTTGTCTGAAATGAGAAAGAACTGTTTTGAAACCCAGGGATATACAAGGATGGCTCAAAGCAAACAATGTGACATCTATTGTGAACCCTGTCCGTGAAGCTGTGGGTTCCAGCAATGTGCAGATGAACTGGAGCTGAGGGACTGTTTGCAAGAGTGGCTGATAGGTTTGTGGACAAGGGACCAATTACGAATCACAAAGATACTCTGCCCGCCAACAACTAGGTGACTGCTCATCAGTTAGCTAAAAAGCTTGGGTTGTGAACAGGACAGAGAAACTAAGTCAAACCAGAAGATAAACCAGCAAGTCTACAGCTCTCTGCATTAATTCCCTTGAAACTTCCAAGAAAACCAGCTTACCTTTCCTTCGGCAGTTAATGCAAGCTGTGACTTGGAATTTAATAAGTCAGAGACCTTTTTGCAAGTGCACCAGCCACACGGTGTTTCTTGCAGATCAGTGGAAGCATTCAGAAAAAGGAAAGCATAGAAGAAATGTTCTCATCACCAAGATCTAACCCAACAGATCGTGTGGACCAAGACTGTGGAACTGTTTGCCGAGTTTTCCCTCCACACTTGTGCTTATGTTTGTCTCTGTGTATGTCTATAAGGGTAAGCTTATAAGGGATTGAAAGTTTTAATTTGTAGAGTTTACTTGATTTAGCTTAATTGTCTATCTGTAGCTAGAACCTAATGACATATAATAAACAGTGATTTCCTGTCAAGTTCCTTGTGATTTATCAACCTGGATCTGAAAGTTGGGCAGTGTGGAGAGTTTGGATGTTTCTTTTAAAATCCTGAACTCCAGGAATCATGGGGTTTAATTCCCAGTGCAAGACCCGTGCGAATCATGGCTTTGCAAAGTAGCAATTTACCAAATGCCATTTCTCCAGGACTTCCTCATGACTCTGCATGATCTCACGTTTAAAATAATAATCTAATTCTCATAAATCGCTTGAACCTGTGCCACCAAATACTCAGGCAATGCATTCACATCAAAACCACTCACTGTGTCGTGAGGATTTTCCTCCTGTCTTCACTGCTTCTTTTGCCAATTCCCTTTAATCTATATCCTCTTGTTCTTGCTTTCCAAACTTGATAGATCTTCCTACATTATTTAAGTTCCTCATCCTGAAACAATTCTTCTCAATCTTTTCTGCACCATCTCGAACTTCTATACATCAATGCACGAAAACGGCACCCAGGACTGGATGCAATATTCCAGCTGAGCCTAAATAAATATTTTCATGTAACCTCCTTGCTCCTGTAGTTTGTGTCACTAAATTTAAAACCAGGATACTTGACACAGTGTCAAAGGCAGACCCAAAATCTACAACTGACTTATAGTTCGAGTACCCAGGGCACTGCATTACATATATCATGATCATGTTTCTTTCTGAAGATATTTTTCATTTTAGAACAGACCTGACTCATCGAGAGGGTGGGACGGCTGCATTAGATATTGGCCTTACACGTTGCTGCCTGGAACAAATTCTCACGCAGACCTATGTATTAAAATTTTCTGCAGTTAAACAGCTCAAAGACACAGAGTACTTCACCTGAGATGGCTGACATTTTCCAACAGAAGACAGGATTTTTCACTTAATTACTTGGAGAATCAACTAAAAATGGTTCCATGCTCTATTCCACTCTCACTACTGACACCCCATCCTTGGCACTATAACAGGGATATTCCCCTCCCTCCCCTTTCCCATAACAAGAAGAATTCAGGCACCATTGAGCCAAATACCTCAAAGTCACTCAGGTCACTCTCATCTACTGCATCACCCTCCACATATTCCACTTGACCAACATCCTGTTGAGAGAAAAAGATATGAAGACATGTTACAAAGGGAATAACAGCTTGTTGCTTTTGAGACTGGCAGTAACTCCACCATGTCACCTACCTGTCCAATTTCAAAGTTCTGGACAGTGCAGCACTGGAGAAATAAAATCCCTGGCTCAGTCTGGTGCAAGCAACACTGGTTTTAGCAACAAACATGAACTTTTGTGGAAATGGTTTGGGAACAATTGAGGTGAATGCAATTCACATACACAGTGACTCAAACGTCTCATTTAGCGTGAAACTTAATCTTTCCCCAAATTCTGCTCTAAGTTATATTAAACCCAATCCATCTTAGTGCAGCTGACTTCAGCAGAGTAAATGCCCTCAATACTTCCACATTGAAAGACACCAAACCATCCCTGCTCAAGATACACAACACAGCTCTCCTTCCCACCTCTCTTCTGATCCACAACCTCACCCCTTCCCTTTCAAGAGACACAAGGCGACATGCACTCCCTCTTGACCCTCCCCATCTCAAAACCCACAACCATACTCTTCCTCTAAATCCTCCCCTCCTTTTCTTACAGACTTGCTTTCCATCCACACATATCCCATACACTCCACTCATATCTCCCTGCAAACCTACTCCATCTCCATGACCCAGATTCACAACTCCCCTCAGAAACTCACTGAACCTGACTCCAAAACACACATATTCTGAATTGAGAGAGGCAATAGGATAGTGCCACCATGCTCCCTGCTGAAAACGTTCATTCATCCTTAGGTTTCTGATACTGACCCAGACTGGTCAATCTGACAGCCGGGCTAGCTTCTTTCTCCGAACAATTAGGTGCCAAGTCTGGAATTTCACACTTTTAACAGATAAGTACTAACCCTGGAGCTAAAACACACATGAAAATCAAAAAATCCTCATCTATCCCACTCACAAACAAATCATGCCAATACGAACACTGAAATCACAGCCTGGATGGGTGTCTATTTCAGAGTTTTCATTTACTGAGCAAAAATGCATGATTCACACCAGATTTCCCAACTTGCCCATGTTTTGGACAACAATGCTCCAAACCACCTGTGTTCAAGGAAGCAGAACTGAGGAAGCTAGGTTCCCGGTATTCAAGTCATCCCAATAAAACTGCATCAGAATCAATGAGATCAAACATAAGACTGGACACTTTTGTTTTCCTCTCAACTTTTACCACCACTTACCTCATCGTCTTCTTCCGAGGAATCGGTCTCACTCTCTTCATCCTGCTGTTCCAGCGCTTTATCGAATGCATGAATAGGGAAGTTGTAAATGTCTTCATACTGATGGGACAGGACAGAAAGATGTTACTAACACATCAGAGATCACCAGGCGTCCACCCTTAGTCACAGTAGCAACGTTCAATCCCATACTTCAGCCCTTCTCAAGAGAGCTGTAGACAAAACCACCCATGAGTACAGTTTGAATTTCCATTCCCCAGACAACGTGCATATGCTGGAGTAGACTATTCCTCAGCACATGCAAGGAACTAACCAAGTAACCATAATTCCACTGGTTCATCAATTGTTGTCACTCCCTAATAGTGCTCTCTACAGTTGCTCAACCACAGCAACGCTCAGCATGAACCCTCACCAATTCCACAAGACTTTGATGTGAATTCAGATCTCTGCCCATGAAGTTCAGCAACTCACCGTCCCCTGCTTGAGTCGCTCCAGCAGTTCCTTCTCAATGGCGTTGTCCAGCTGAGCTGCAATCAGAGCCTTTTCCTGAAAGAAAACAACAGTCAAACTCTGTTACATGCAGTCTCATACCTCTCCAGCACAGAATATAACTGCCCTTGCCAAATTCACCCCAAAAGAATTACCACTAAACAGAAATAGAAAAAAATAGCTGACTCGCTCCATTCAATTCAGGTCACACAAGGATAGACAGGGTGCAAGATTTTCTTCAAGGATGAGGGACTTCAGTTACCTTGTCAGACTGGGATTGTTTTTCTGGGAGAAGGGAAGCTTCCAGAGTGATTTATTAAAATTCAAGTATTTAACATGCTGCTGGGTTTTGATAGTGGCACAGCCAGTTGCGAGCCAGAGTGCACTGATTCATGATGACTGGCCAAAATTCCAAGAGAAAAGGAGATAGTAAGAACTGCTGATGCTGGAGTCAGAGATAACACGGTGCGGAGCTGGAGGAACACAGCAGGCCAGGCAGCAGACCCTTCAAGGGTTTCAGCTTTCCTGCACCTCTGATGCTGCCTGGCCTGCTGTATTCCTCCGGCTCCACACTGTGTTATCAAGAGAAAAGGAGAGTGTCTTTCACATAGCAGATTCCCACAATTTAGAACAAAAATAGACTCGACAGTAACTTTCAAAGGGGAACTAGTTAGGTGCTTAAACAGAAGAAATTGTAGATCTACAGAGAATAAAAAAGTTGATGTTCTTTCAAAAAGCCAGTGCGGACAGGATGAATTGAAAAGGCTGCTCCAGTGGTCTAGGATTGTCCAGCTACATAAACTGAAGTCTGACAGAATTCACATGATAGTGATGGTTCCCAGTGACTGGGTCAGGTCAACAGGTGAACACATGTCGAGAAGAGTCAGGGAGACCTTGAAAGTCTCAAACAAATCCCCACCGAGCATCAAGATTTCTCTCAGCAACAGTACAAGTCACAGACCGAGGTCCGTCAGAGAAACCACATGCAGGTGCAAGAGCATGTTTACCTCTCTCCGTCTCTCTCTCCGTTCAACCTTCTGGCTTAAAGGTACCAGCTTCCTCCTAAAGAGAAACATAAGAGAATTAGCCCAAGAGAAAGAAACAGGGCACCGACCACACAAATCCATCAGTGAGTGGGACATCAGCAGCAGGCTGTGTCTCTGCTGTTACATGAGTTAGTTATTTCAGAATAAGTCTAGGGTCAGAATGGCGGAAGCAATGATCCTTTCACATGGTCCAGTTGGTAATGCTGCATGAGTGATGCTGTTTTGCTCGGAGTTATTAAGTACCTCGAAGAGACCTTGGCAAAGTTATACCAGAATTGAAATGTCATTCCACCCTTGCCTGAATGATGCTTTTCAGACCCTTGAGGGCTGGGAAATATTCATATTTACCAGGCAGCCCTGGATGGCTGTGAGTACATCTGATCATCAGTTCCGGATTGTCACTTCCAAAGTTAATCCTTGCACCTTGCGTGACTGTCTCCTTCAAGCTCCATTTCACCCATGCAATAACAGCCCAAAACCCAATGAACAGTTTGATGCTAACTCCAAACAACCAAGACCAAAGGTCATGCCATATTCCACAACAAACTTACTGTCTCTTTAGGGTGAGCTTGCGGATACGGATCAGGTACTGGGTGATCTTTGTAAAACGCTGCTTACACTTGTGTCTGATAAAGCGGGGCCAGTAGATAAGATGTTCATCAATCTGTTCCAGAGCTCTCTCATAATTCTTACTTAACTTGACCTGTGAAATATTGAGAAAAAGAAGATGTTGAGGTGAACAACCTTGGATTTAACAGCAAGAGTTGAAATGCAAGTGTTTTCTGGAAAACACCAAACATAGCGCGAGGCACAAATGGATTATGGCAGAACAGCTTCCCATAAGGAGTCACTGCTTGAGGGTTTGACTGCCACAATGTATGATCTGTGGTCTTAACTGCACCCACAAGTAACTGTGAATCCATCAAAGTTCACAAATATTATCCCTCATGAACTTCACGCTTCTGCTATTGCCTACACATTGAGCATGACATTGCTCGTGTAACTGGTCAGCTGTTCCCTCATTTTATTCCTGCACCCTCGTGCATACACCACACCCATGCATCTTGTTCTGAATGTATATCACATACATTTTATTCCTTTTTCACAAGGTGTTTTGTTTATTGAGCTCCTCAAGCGCGTGGATTTATTGTTATTCTTACTCCTGTAAAAGAAGATTCAGGATGTTCAGTATTCCCTCAGTGTAGCCATGTCAGCAAGCCACGTGATTAAGTGTTGCAGGATCAGTTACAATTAGCATGGAAAATTTCTCATCAAGAGCTATTTTCCTGACAGATATCCTGATGGGTTCTGAGCATCCAGCATGTCATTCTCATTGGGAACAAGAATATCACACCAAATATAACTTTTCTAGCTCAGATAGTCTGTACTTACCCGCTCCCATAATCGAGATGGAAAAGCAGCTCGTTCTATTGTCTTCATGTACAGGAAACACTGACCTGCAGGATGCAAAATATCATGTTTAGCTTATGGAGAACCTGTGAGGGGGAGATATACATCTGCATTCATCTCGATAAAAACAGGCAGGCAAAAACACTTTGAAAGTTGTCTGAAAAAATTTTGCACCTTGAAAATGCTAGAAATATCAAGAGTTTTGCAGTAATACTGAGGCATTTCAGCGTGTTGGCTGCGTGGAGAAGTCTGACGTTTATTGCACTCTCTGCAACATTTCACAAATATTATGAACAAAATATTTTCTGTTGTAAACATTCATTCATGGGCTGTCAGTGTCTCTCACTAGGCCAGCATTTATTACCTATCCCTAATTTCCCAGACAGCAGTTAAGAGTCAACCATGTTGCTGTCGGTCTGGAGACACTTGTGGGCCAGGCAAAGTTGACAGATTACTTTCCGTAAAAAACGATAGTGAACCAGATGGGTTTTTCCAATAATTGACAACGGTTTTATGGTCATTAGACCTTTAATTCCAAATTCTTTATTGAATTCAAATTCCAACATCTGCCATGGTAGGATTTGAACCCAGGTCCTGAGATCATTAGTGAGCTTCTGGATTAATAGTGTGGCAATAATTCCACTAGGCACCTGCCCCAGCAGCATGTGGGTTTTGGTCTGTATGCCATCCCATTCACAACAGTGAATTCCAGACATCATAGCACAACCTGCTGTGTTCCAGGTCCACAGAGAAAGTAGTTAGTGGAAACATTGATTATGAGTGATGAGGAGGATGTTACAATACAATCCAGATAAATTGAGGAGGGATACATGACAGATGCAATGTCACAATAATAAGTGTAATGTGATCTAGAAATATTTTGAATTTGGATTTTGATATCATGGTACGTGGGCTTTCGTCTGTAGGTACAAAGGGGTTTAATGCAAGTCAGCATTTCCAGACAATAATTTCTTTTTGAATCAGGTAGAAAGAGCGTGCCCCTGGGCTGATCATGAGAATTTTTTATACAGGGAGAGTTATACGAGCAGACAGAGTAAACTTTGATGGAACATTAGCTTGCTTTCAGTTCAGAACGATCAGGACTTTTGCATCAGACAAAAACTCAAAGCTTGGAAGTGCTTTTGGTTCCAGTTCGCCGAAGTCCTGGTTGAAGTTAGATGTTTGAGACAGTTTCTTCACGATAAAGGGGCCAGTTCAGCAAGGTTAGGAAATAGGTTACCTCAGTCTAAGAATCTTAGTTTGAAAATTCTAGACATGTAGTGTTTGCTTAGAATCCTGAAGGGGCTGTTTGAAGCTGACAAAATCTAAGCTCAGTTGTGCAAATAAGCAAAGACTAGCTGTAAGACTCTCAGGAATGTGAATTTAAAGAAGTAGTCAAGTCAAACCTACAGACACAGAAGGGAAATGCTCTCTTACGAATGCTCGCTGAGCACTGTAATGCGGCAATGTTGAGATTGGTGAGATTGTATTTTTACTGTGTTTTAAAATATTTTAAATTGTTTTGTTTGTAAATAGCTTGATTTATTCTATTTCACCTTTTGTGTAATAAACTTCTGCTTCATTGTTAAAACCAAACACACAGCACTGCATGCTTTTGTTCAGAAAGAGACAAACTGGTTGCATTTAAAAAGAACTGAGCTATCAAGCCAGATTTTAGTCTTGTCCAGTCATAACATTGGTTAGGATTATTGCTTAAGTATGGCTTACTATTATTTACATTGTGACAGCATGGGAGATGTTGCTGTACCAAGGGATCCAAGAACCTTTGTACATCAGTCACTGAAAGCAAGCATGCAGGTGCGCTAAGCATTTGGGAAGGCAAATAGTACACTGGCCTCGACTGCAAGATACTTCACATACAGGAGCAAGGTTGTCTTCCTCTAGCAACAGGACTTTGGTGATACCACACCTGAATTAGTGTACACTTTTAGTCTCCTTACTGAAGAACAATATACTTGTCACAGAGGGAGTGCAGGAAAGGTTCACCACAGAATCCTGGGACCGCAAGATTAGTGACTTCAGAAGGATGGGAGGAAATCTCACTGAAACATGAAATTTTGATAGGGCTGGACAAACTGGATACAGGGATGACGTCCCTCTTGTCTGCAGGAAGGGGTTCAAGAACAATGGCTCACAACATTCGGAGACGAGGTAGGCCACAGAGAACTAAGACTTGGGAGAAATTTCTTCATTAAGAGGGTGGTGAACATGTTGAGTTCTCAACCACAGAAGACAGTGGAGAATCAGTCACAGAACATGTTTAAGAAATAAATAAATAGATTTATGGGCACTAAAGAGTCCAAGGGGTAATGGGGAGAACGTGGGAGGAACGCATTGAATACAGGATAAGCTATGATCATACTCAACAGAGGAACAGGCTCAATGGGCTCCTGCATTAATACAGGTTACAGTTTGCCATAATTATGGAAAGATGATTTGAGTCACAGGTCAGACTGCTTACCTCTCTCCTCCTTGACTGTTGCATACTGACTGTTGGCCAAAGGACAGGATGACCGATTACACAGGCCTGTGATATTATACTCATTGCGACAGAAGCTCTGTGTTTTAGTTCTGCAGGGGCAAGAAAAAGGACCAACTTGAAAAGAGTCAGGAAACATGGGACATTTGTTCTCAAAGAAGCTGTCAAATATCAAAAACATCACAGTATAGGCTGGTGACAGGTATAGGACAGGAAGCCTCAGCCTAATCTGACAGGAAGGTCTCATTCTCCAAAATACAGGACTCTGCAGCAACATGAAGCAAGGAATCGAACAGGTTTGTACGTGTAGGTTGTTATCTGGGATTGACTGCAAGCAGAATGTGCGTCTTATGCTGTTCGAGGCCAGACCATTGAGGTGGGGACAATGGAAAGCTGACACCATTCTCACATGGTAGGGAGTCAGTTTATGATGGAAGACACTTTACAATTTACACTCTGTAACTGACATTTTGTTTTGAATACCACAAGTCAGTTGATTGTAATTTTTTTAAAAGACAATCTCAAGGGAAGAGATCGTGTTCCAGCAAAAGAAAAATACCTTGTTTAAAAGTCTTCAGCAGATAAAGGGGTTACTTGTTACATGCTCTTGCAGTTCGACACTAAAGAAGCCCAGTCACAATTTAAATTCAAGGCCAGAATTTTCCAAACTTCATGTGTCTTTGAGGAACAAGATCAAAAATCCTTCAGTCCTGCAATATTTTCAACCATCCTCTGAGGGACAACTAAGAATTAACCCACTTCTGCTCCATCCTTCTATCAAAGTTCATGCTACTTTTTTGGAAAACACATTTTCCAATGCATGTATTTGGAAAGCAACTGCTGCAGTTTGCACTTCAGATTTTGTCAAGAATCAATGTCCATCTGTTCTTTTGATTTTCAAATTTATACAAGAGCCTGTTCCATGGCCGCTCTTGAAATTCACAGCACTAAAAGCACAATAAACTGTCCTTCTCAGAACTAGACCTTGTTGTGATCAGTAGAAAATTCGGGAAAAAAAAAAGGGAGAAATTACCACACATTTATAAGTGGCCCGTAACAGTGGTTACTTTTCAGACTGGGAGATGTTTACATCAGTGTTCATGAAGAATTAATTTTGGACCCATGACCCTTTCCGTGTTTTTCATTTACAAACAACCCATGCAAGGGTGTAGTGAATAGCATTATAATGTCAGCAGATTTTGTTTTGTTCCTTCCTGGCATCACTGTAGGGAACATCACCATACCTTCCCCAGATTCACCAAAAGATCAGCCACTGAGGTCGAACTGCCGTTCGTGCCACCAGCAACTGCCCTTGATTGTTTAGCCATTTCAGAGGACAGTTAAGAATCAACTATATTAGTTCAGTACTTGAGTCTTATATTGGCTGAACCAGGTGAAAATGGCGGATTTCCTTTCCCAGAGAACGATTAGTAAAGCTGAAGGTTTTTTTAATCAAAACAATCCACAAGAGTTGTCACTAGCTGTAGGCAAGTTTTACATTACAGACTTATTTGCTGGGGCTTGCAAATGAAAATTCAGATCATGAGACTGGGCCCCAGATTCCTCATCCAGTGACATGAATTAGTGCTGGACCATCCACTTTATAACAGATAATGATTAGGACAGATCGAGAAAGGTAAAATGGGCAGAAGCATGGCAGATAAATTTCAACAAAGACAAGTCGCTAGTGTTGCGTTTTGGAGAATGAATATGGGCAAACAGGATAATTTCATTTCAAGTCACAATTTTTCAAATGTTTGGTGAGTAGAGACCTCAGGTACTAATCAGTACATCCAAATCCTTCAAGTTGGCTTTGCAAGATTGATTACGTCATCACGCTGGAAGTTAATAAAGCACAGGCTAGATTTCAGTTGCTGGGCACTACAGCACACTGCAGGAAATTTAGCAGATGCTGCCATAGTGCAAGACGTTAGTTTGGAAGAGTGATTGAAAAATTACAACTATTCCCTGGAAGGGAAGCTACTGGATGATGACAGAGTAGATAAAGGCTGTATCCATGCATAAAATGGGTCAATAAACAGCGGTCACAAACATGAAATAATTGGCAAAGGATCCCGATGGGGAATAAGGAAAAGGCTTTAAACACAGTTAGTTGTTAAGATTGAAAACAAAAAATGCTGGAGATCACATCAGCTCAGGCAGCATTCATGGAGAGAAAGAAAGCTCACGTTTTGAGTCTAAATGACTCTTCATCAGAGCTGTTCGGATTACAAGTTGGTAGAATCTCCTTTTGCAAACAATTTTAAAATGGACCAGAGAGGTAGTTGAGAATGAGGAACATGGATCTGCAGACAGAACAGACCAGTGGTCAACACAGCTCAAGTGCTCTTTCAAAGAGCCATCCTTGACAGTGGGCTGAATGGCTTTCAATGCGACAAGTTTCTGCAAACCAACTCAGTCTGCTTGGTTTTACTGACAATGTGCCAATATGAAAGAGGTTCATTTTCTTCCACATTCTCCCATACATAGAGCAAGGGAGTGTGAGAATTCAGGGCATTCCAGAACAGAAAGATGCACAAGAATATTCAGATGGGACAGCTGCTTCTCCCTGCTTACCAAATGCAAAACATTTAGTTTGAGTATGGCAGAAGGAAATTAGGAACTGAAGCCAGCTCAACACTAAAAGTACCCATTCAGACTGGAACCAGAGGCCAAATCTTAGACAGTCGCAGACAATTCAAACAATTATCAGGAAGACGACACATTTCAGGTTTATTTTACTGGGAATATTTACTTACTTCACTTTGTAGGAACAAAAACTTTTGTTTCCGATAAGATCCCAAAGCACCTAAAAAAGAGAAACTTGATTAGAATCCAGTTAAGTCTTACTCTCGCTGTTTTCTGATAAACAAATCTTATGTCACGAGAAAAGTAATTAAGGTCAGCAGAAAGTGTAAACAATACGATGAACATCACGGGGAACAGGAAAAAATGGTGGATAAAATTATTCTAGCCATTGTCGGCAGTGAAACCGCATTTGTTTGAATGGACACGTAATGTTGCTGCACACAAGTTGCTCAAAAGAAGTGCCATCACTGGTCAGGACTGGGGAGGGGTTTTCCAAGTTTCCTTAACTGTTAGATGGTGACTGAAAATTTCACCCAGCTGATGTAACATACACTTAACTTCTAACATATTCTCCTTGTGCACTCTATCTCCCAAGTTTTGGCAAGCATTGTCAAATCATTCCAGCGATTTGGTCATGTTCCTGACACTGGGAGTAAAAATCCCGAAATCAAAACTGCCAGTGCAAATGGAAGCAATTCAGCCCATGGTGGCCTTGCTAACTGAGGGAAAATGATGACCTGAGTCACTGTGCTCGATCCACTGACCTGCAAATTACAGCCCTTCACATGCAGATCTCAGTACATGTTAAATGCCTTGAGGCTGTCTGCCTGCACTACCTTTTCACGCAACCACAACCCACTGGATGGAAAAGTTTCTCAACCCTCCTCTAATGCTTCTCCAAATACTGTTAATGGAAGCACCCATTCTGTGAAAAGAAACAGATCACTATTGCTTGGTTTCCCTTAATTCCATACCCTGAATGAAATCTCCCAACAGCCTCCCTCTGTCCCAAAGAAAACAATCACAAATGACCGAATCGTTCCGCCATAACTGAAGTTCAGACCACCACCTTGTAACGCTCCTGTCAAATCCCTCCAAGGTGATCCCACGGTTTCAGTGTGGTGATGATCGGAACTGCATACGTTATTCCAGGAGCATGTGCTGAGGGAGGCACTCAAGTCACAAAATCACAATGAACAAAGGTCGAAGACATTCATGCTGTTGTATACTGAAGATTTGTAAATTGGCCTTGAACTGAGGGGCTTGCAAAGACACTTCAGCAGCAGTTAAAAGTCAACCACATTGCTGTGGATCAGGGTAAACTAGAGAAAAAGAAAGCAGATTTCCTTCCCCCAAGAACATGAGTGAACCAGATTAGTTTGTGTTTCAACAACGGTTCCTGTCACCATTACAAAGTTTATTTTTACATAGAACAGCAGAGCACAGGAACAGGCCCTTCAGCCCAAAATGTCTGTGCCGACCATGATGCTATTCTAAACTTTTCCCAACTGTCTGCACATGGTCAGTCTCCACTATTCTCTGCCTGCTCATCTGTCTGTCTAAATGCCTCAAACGTTGCTATCATAATCTACTTCTACCCACCTCCCCTGGCAGCACATTCCAGGCATCAACCACCCTGTGTAAAAAAAAAAACTTGCTTCACTCGTCTCCTCACTCTCTTAAACTTTCTCCTCTCACCTTAAATCTATGCCCTCGAATATTTCACATTCCATTGTGACAAAGAGACTCCAACCATTCACCCCTTTCACACCTCTCAATTTTATACACTTCTCTGAGGCTGCCCCTCAGCATCCAAAGCTCTAGAAAAAACAATCCAAGTTTGTCCAAGTTCTCCTGAGAGTTAAGACATTCTAACCCAGGCAACATCCTGGTAAACCTCTTCTGCACCCTCTCCAAAAGCTACACATTCTTCTTACAGTGCAGTGACCAGAACTGTAGCCTGACAAAAATCTTAAACGAAGAAGACAAGCAAGCCATATGCCTTCTTTGCCACCTGATCCACTTGCGTTGCCACTTCCAGGGAGCTGAGGACTTGGATCCCAAGAGCTCTCTGTATATCAATGCTCTGAAGGGTCCTGTCATTTACAGTATACTTTTTCATTTGACCTCCAAAAATGCATCAACTCACACTTGTCCAGATTAAACTCTGCCATTTCTTTGCCCAACTTTCCAGGTGATCTGTATTCTGCTGCATCCTTTGATATTCTTCATCACTATCCACAAGTCCCCTACAAACTTACTAATCAGACCACTGACATTTTCATCCAAATCATTTATACATATTACAAACAACTGAGGTCCCTGCACTGAATCTTATGGAACACCACTGGTCACAGACCTCCAGTCAGAAAAACACCCCTTCACCACCACCCTCTGTCTACATTCCAGATTTATGAATTGAATATAAATTTCACCAGCGGTTGTGCTGTTGGGCCCAAGTTGCCACAGCTTTAGTCAGAACCTCTGGATTACCACTCCAGAAGCAGTACCAATCTGCTGCTCAGCAACTGCACACATATTCAACGAAACTGAATATGTTGCCACTTCAGGATTAAATCAATTCTGGATTGATAAATTGAAGTACTTCTATGAGTTTAGGAATCAGGTATATTTTTGGGAAAACATACTCCAGCTTTACTTCCTGTAGCTGTTCAAAGCGTGAACCTGATATCACAAGATGAACTCTGCTCATTTGAATGTTAAGCACTGCCACTGAGAGGGGCTGACCAATGTGGAGCCAGTGTGCTGCAGTTCCAGTGCTGATGTAAGTGTTGCAAACAATTCTGTGCCCTTAGTCACATCAGTGTCTCAGATGTAGTGACAATGGCATTAAGTGTTAGTTTATAAACCTTAATAAAAAGCAAAATGGTGCAGTTCTGAAGAAGGACAACTGGAAAAGCTCAGCAGGTCAGGCAGCATCTGTGGAGAGAGAAACAGAGCTTATGCTTCTCGTCCAGTGACTCTTGTCTTTTCCTCAGAGTGGGGGAGTCTGAAACTAGAGGGCATAGATTGAAGGTGAGAGGGGAAAGATTTAGTAGGGACCTAAGGGGCAACGTTTTCACACAGAGGGTGGTGTGTGTATGGAATGAGCTGCCAGAGGAAGTGGTGGAGGTTGGTACAATTACAATTTTTAAAAGGCACCTGGATGGGTAGATGAATAGGAAAGGTTTAGAGGAATCTGGGCCAAATGCTGGCAAATGACCCCAGTTAATTTAGAATATCTGGTTGGCATGAACAAGTTGGACCGAAGGGTCTGTGTCCATGCTGTACAGCGCTAGGACTCTTTATCATCACGTATATCATGTGCAATATTCACATCATGGTTTGGTATCAGACAGCATTTCTGCTGGCCAGACTTTTGTTATGCCAGCATAGATTGAAGTTGTACATGGGGATGCCATGGAATCTCCTTTGTAGGAGACTCTGAAGGAATTGTCCAGGAAACTGAACTTTCTTCTGTGCTATTCTTCGATGCTAGGAGCCCTCCCAAAGCTTCATAAAAATCAGACACTTCTGATCTATCTTAAATACATCAGATTTCTAACTAACTATTAAATTGACTCTATACTTAACTCACACACCACCCCCTCCAAATGACACCATCTTAAGACCACTTACATGCCCCCTCTCCCCAAAAGCCTGACTTGATTCACTCCTGGGCATCTGACCTTGTCCCTCCAGAACCGACCACCTCCTGGAATCTAAGACCACCCCACCAACAGACCCGACACAACCCCAAAACTAGGCCCTGCTGCTGCCCTTGGGCTCAACCCCCACCCTGAGGTGCCCAACCCCTACCCAAAGTTGATCTGACACCCCACAATCTGAGCAATAGGGAAGCTTCGACTCTCGCACCGGTTAGGACAATTCACAAGAACACATGCTCAGCGGGTGAGGGGGAGAACAAGATGGGCATTCTTGCGAAAGGTCCTGACGAACGCAAGATGGAAAGCTCTGACAAAGAAAACACAAAGACAGAAATTGCTGGTAAGACTCAGCGGGTCTGGCAGCATCTGTGGAAGAGAAGTACATAGTTCACGTTTCGGACCCAGTGACTCTTCCTCAGAACAGTTTTGACGAAGTGCATCTTCCACCGGCAGGAATATTGTCAGGGACCCGAGCAGCTGCTGAAGGTTGAGCCAGGGAGAGGAGGAGGAAGAGGGGTGTCCCCCACATGGGACTGGGACCTGACTGTAAGGGAGCGAATGGAGGTCAACATGGCAATCTGAAACCACCACCCGTTTTCTCAACTCACATCATCGTGTTGCATGGTTCCGTCGCCAGCGCCTGGACCCCGGGCCTGCCGCCGTCTCCTCCAAGTTTACTGCAACACGCCACCTCACACGGTACCCGCCGCCATCTTGGCCCTCATGGCGAGCGGGTCCTCGCGAGAACTGAGTGACCCGGCTCTCCCCCCCGCCCCCGCGGAAGGCAGCCTTGGAGGGGGAGAGCGGGTGGGGAAATGCCGTCCTCATTCCGACCACTGGGGGCCGCTGTCTCGCCCAACCCGCTTGCAGCTACAGGCTTGCGGCCAGCGGGCGGCTTCACGTTTGTCATGAACGGGGCGGCAGCGCGCCGCTGGTAGGCGACTCTTCACCGGGACACCACGGATGTTCCAGAGAACATCTGGAAAGAAACAGAGGGGCATCAAAAACTTTCCAACCGTTGGGGAGGAACCAAAGGGCTGGGAACTGCAACTCCCTCCTCACACTGTGTGCCAAACAAATACTGGTCCGAGGAAGAGTCACCGGATCCGAAACGTTAACTCTGATCTTTTTCTTTACAGGAGCTGCCAGACCTGCTGAGCTTTTCCAGCGACTTCTGTTTTTGTGACTGATTTACAGCATCCGCAATTCTTTCGGTTTTTAAACACTGTCTGGTGTTCGTCAAAAAGAAGGAAGAGGTATTAATGCACCACAGAGGGAAATCCCTTGAGTTTGTGTGGATGGACTTTTTGTGATTTATCACCTGAAATGCATATCTGATGTGCAATGTATTTTCTAAATGTGGAAGGGATTACAATGGTACAGTTTGGATTCCTTTGCCAATGCTGTAATATTCAAATTGGAATGTTTGGGTAATATTTTTTCTTTCCAAATTGTGTGAATAAAGCACACTTTATGGAAAGGCAAGTGTGCCTGTCCACAGATGTCTTCTCCACTTGCATCTTGCTTTTATCATTTTCTCTCATTTTATGAAATAAAAGGGACATGGCAACATAGCAACAAAATTGACTGAGCAATACGAAGCCGAGAGGAGTGATGAATGCTTTTTTTGGACAGGAGGAAGGTTCATTTGTGAAGTTCTCCAGGGTCAGCTGTTGGAAGCCTACTATTCTTGATGTATACACTGAGACACTGGCACACATGACATTAACTCTAAAATTTGTGGATGAAACTAAGCTTGGAAAATACTGCGCACAGTAAGGAGTGTGCAGCTCAACACCAGTAAACGTACAATTGTCAGATTGGTTGAATCAATGGGCACACAAAAGGCAAATTAAATTACCGGAGGGAAGTGCAGAGTGATTTGATTTATTGGAAGGAGAGACAATACAAGATAAAGGGTACACTCCAAATATTCACAAATCTCAGAAGGTGGCAGGGTCAGACAAGAGCACAGTTGAAAAGCCTACAAGCTGTGGGGCCTTTATTAATTGGAGTGTAGAAAACAAAAAGAGGGAAGATGTGACAAATCTCTACAAAATATTGGTTCAGCCTCAATTGAAATATTGTGTTCGGTTCTTGTCACCAGATTTAAATCATGATAGTATTTTTGAGCACAGAAAAAGACCATTCAGATGATCACTTGCTGTACAAAGGAGCAATTCACCCCCTGCCATATCCCCAGCTGCTCCCCAAAGCCCTGCACATTCCTCCTTTTCATTCCCTCTGGAATGCTTCACTTGAAGCTCAGGCAGTGCCTTTCAAATCCAAACCACTTACTGAGTTAAAAAAATTCAGATTATTGTATCACCATTTGGTTCTTTTGGCACAAAAACATAAATTGCTGGAGAAACTCAACAGGTATGACAGCATCTGTGGGGAAAAGCAAACTGAACATTTTGGGTCCAGTGCAGTTTGGAAGTACACAATGTTCACTCTGCTTTCTCTCAACAGATGCTATCAGGCCTGCTGAGTTTGTCTAGCACTTTCAGTTTTTGTTTCATATTTCCAGCATTCACAGTTCTTCGGGGTTTTTTGTTTAGTTTTTGTAGTTGGGTGTTTGAGGGATTTTTGTTTGGATGTTTTTTGTTTTGATTTTAGTTTTTCTTTGCGTCTTTTGGCAATTACCTTCCATGTGTAGTAGCTGGTTCTCAATCCATCCTCCAAACAGAACGATTTCTCCCTATTTGCATTGTTCTTGGCAAAGGAAGGAATGCCGACAAGTGCAAAACTTCGACACAGCAGATCAATTCAGTTGTAGCCTACAGTAGAGAATTACATTGATAAATAATAAAAAGTTCGCTGTGCTGTGGGTAAAAGGCAGGATATATGCAATATGTCTACTCTACAGATATGCACAAAGTGAATTGCTGTTGTGCAGACCCAGCACAGACAATGATGAGCTCAACCTGCTGTAACCGCTCAGTGATTCTCTGGTCAATTCTTCTTGTTTCCTTTGCAGAAGAGTGTTCAATTGTTTTCATAATTTCTCAGATCAATAAGCAGAATGTCCCATGCATAGCAGGAGCAGCAAGTAACATGTACACCTTACAGAAATCAGTTCCAACAAAGAGTCTGAGACAACAAGGTGTAGAGCTGGATGAACACAGATGTTGTCTCAGATTCTTCAGCATCGGCAGTTCCTACGATCTCTCCAACAAAGTCTAATTGCTTTTCCCTTGATATTCAACAGCAATACAAGGCATGTGGGATATTTAGGAATAACAAGGTGTAGAGCTGGATGAACACAGCAAGCCAGGCAGCATCAGAGGAGCAGGAAAGCTGATGTTTTGGGTCTGGACCCTTCTTCAGAAATGGGGGAGGGGAAGGGGGCTCTTAAATAAATAGAGAGAGGGGAAGGCGATGAAAGAAGATGGATAGAGGAGTAGACAGGTGGAGAGAAGACAGACAGGTCAAGGAGGCGGGGATGAAGCCAGTACAGGTGAGTGTAGGTAGGGAGTTGGGATGGGGGTTGGTCACTGAGGAGGGAGGGGCAAGTAGGTGGGAGGGAAGACGGACAGGTCGAGGAGGCGGGGATGAGGTTCATAGGTAGGACGTGGGTGTGGGGGTTGGTCAGTGAGGTGGGAGGAGCAGATAGGTGAGAGAAAAGACGGACAGGTCAAGGAAGCGGGATGAGGTCTTGGGATGAGGTCGGGGTTGGGGAGATTTTGAAGCTTGTGAAGTCCACATTGAGACCATTGGGCTGCAGGGTTCCCAGGCGGAATATGAGGTGCTGTTCCTCCAGCCTTCGGGTGGCATCGTTGTGGCACTGGAGGAGGCCCAGGATGGACATGTTGTCCAAGGAGTGGGAGGGGGAGTTGAAGTGGTTCATTTGTCATGGGAAGTGTTGTCGTTTGTCATGAACCGAGCGTAGGTGCTCCACAAAGCGATCTCCAAGCCTCCGCTTGGTTTCCCCGATGTAGAGGAGGCCACATCGGAACAGCGGATACAATATACCACATTAGCGGATGTGCAGGTGAACATCTGTTTAATGTGGAAGGTTTTCTTGGGGCCTGGGATGGAGGTGAGGGGGGAGGTGTAGGGGCAGGTGTAGCACTTCCTGCGGCTGCAGGGAAAGGTGCCGGGGGTGGTGGGGCTAGTGGGGAGTGTGGAGCGGACGAGGGAGTCGCGGAGAGAGCGGTCCCTCTGGAAGGCAGATAAGGATGTGGAGGGAAATATATCCTTGGTAGTGGGGTCAGATTGCAGATGGCAGAAGTGGCAGAGGATGATGCATTGAATCCGGAGGTTAATGGGGCGATACGTGAGGACAAGGGGAATTCTGTCTTTGTTGTTATTGCGGGGAGGGCTGAGGTGCGGGAAATGTGAGAGATGCGGTAGAGGGCATTTTCAACCACTGTGGAGGGGAAATTGCGGTCCTTGAAAAACAAGGACATCTGGGATGTCTGGGAGTGGAACGCCTCATCCTGGGAGCAGATGCAGCGGAGGCGAGGGAATTGGGAATAGGGGATGGCATTCTTGCAGGAAGGTGGGTGAGAGGAGGTGTATTCTAGGTAGCTGTGGGAGTCGGTAGGCTTGAAATTGATATCAGTTTCCAGGTGGTTACCAGAGATGGAAACAGAGAGGTCCAGGAAGGAGAGAGAGGTATTGGAGATGGTCCAGGTGAACTTAAGGTTGGGGTGGAAGATGTTAGTAAAGTGGATGAACTGTTCGAGCTCATCTTGGGATATTTGCCTTTAGTAGCTGAGGTATTGAGTTCAACAGCAGGGAGATGATGTTGGATCTCTATTAAACAGAGTTGTGTGCAGTTCTGAATCCACACTAGAGGAGGGAGGTGATTGCACTGAAGTGGTGCAGAGGAGATTAACTGAGGTGTTTCCTGGGCTGCAGAAGAGAGATTGGACAGACTGGGTTGTTCTCCTTAGACCAGAGGAGACTGAGAGAGGACATGACTGAAATACAGGAAATTATGAGGAGGATAGATAGGGTAGATAATAAATGTTTGCCCTGGTGGAGGGATCAATGAACAAGGGGCATAGATTTAAGATATGGAGCAGAAGGTTTTGTGGAAGTGTGAAGAAAAACTTCTTCACCCAGATCATGGTGAGAATCTCGAACTCACTGTCCATAAGGGTGGCAGAGAGAGAAATCCTCAGGAAAGTTTAGAAGTCCTCAGATGTGCACTTGTGATGCCAAAGCATGTTGGATCCTGTCAGGTTGTTCTCTGAGCAGACTGTCAAAGCCTCATCACCAGCATTTGTCAACAAACACCAAGAGGTCACTTGGCTAGTGGTGAGAAAGGCACAACATATGAGATCCTTCATGCATGCGCGGAATCTCTCTGCCACTGCACTTGATATTTATAAATAGTATCTTGGATAAGTAATCATAGAATCCCTACAGTGTGAAAGCAGGCCATTTGGCCCATCGAGTATCACCAACCCTCTGAAGAGTATCCCACCCAGACCCAATCCCTAACCTATAACCCTGTATTTCCCATGGCTAATCCACTGAGCGCGCACATCCCCGGATAATAGAAGGCAATTTAGCATGTCTCATCCACGTAACCTGCGCATTTTTGGACTGTGGGAGTAAACCAGAGCACCCAGTTAAAACGCACACTGACACACGAAGAATGTGCAAACTCCTCACAGTCTACCGAGGCTGGAATCAAACCAAAGGGCTTGGTGCTGTGAAGCAGTAGTGCTAACCACTGAGCCACTGTGCGGCGCAGATACGTAAAAAATGCCTTCGGTTCTGTTTGTTCTCCAGTTACAAAGGCTGTATAGAATTGGAGATAGTAGGAACTGCAGATGCTGGAGAATCCGAGACAACAAGGTGCAGAGCTGGGATCAACACAGCAGGCCAAGCAGCATCACAGGAGCAGAAAGGCTGACGTTTCGGGCCTAGACCCCTCATCAGAAAATGTATAGAATTGAACTGCTCTAATCACTATTAACGTATATAAAGATATTTTATGAAAAAAGTATATTTTTGAAAGAAAAAAAATCTGTTCTTAGAAAGACCGCAGTCTAAGGTCTTCCTGCAAAGTGTAATGGGGCACCATTCAGTTGTCGGATCCTCCCGGGGGCCTCAAATACATGTAAATAGTACCTTGCATAATTAAGAAATGCCTTTGGGTTTGTTCAAACTCCAGACAAAATCAGACCCCAAAGTTTCTTTGCTCTAAATGTGCATGGAATGTACAGAACCGAACCGCTTTCGTAACTGTGCATGTCCGCCTATTATTAGAAAAAAAAGGTAGAATTTCGGTAGCGACCCTGATACGAAAACGCCCAGTACCAACTAATATTTACTGAAAAAAAACTACTAATACGATCACATTTAAACAGATCCCTTCTGATCGAAAGTCAGACGGGTGATGTACCAAAGCGTAACAACAAGGGCGGTACATCTCACGCAAATACAGCGTGAAACAACCCAATCATCATCTTTCTGAACACGAAAGGATCGTATACACAGCCGGCCGTCAGGATCCTGGCGCTGAACAAACCCGTGTTAGATCAGGGTGAACCAAACCGCAGCTGACTGCCCTGCGATATTGTGGGACGAGCGCAACGCCTAAATGAGTTTACCGTGTCGGTCGGTTAATGTTGTTTGGGTGCGTTGCCATTCAAAGGCTTCTGTCCGAAATTTTAATCTGTAATTATGTAAATACACGCATTTGCGTCATGACGCACGGTATGATCATCTGAAGAAGGATCTCTGAAGAAGGGTCTCGGCCCGAAACGTCAGCTTTCCTGAGATAACAAGGTGCAGAGCTGGATGAACACAGCAGGCCAAGCAGCAACAGAGGAGCAGGAAGGCTCTCCCACACTTCCTCCTATGGCTCCCTTGATCATCACCCCACCCCCGAGCACCAAACCATCATCTCCCAAACCGTCCACAACCTCATCACCTCAGGTGACCTCCCACCCATAGCCTCCAACCTCATCGTTCCCCAACCCCGCACCGCCCGCTTCTATCTCCTTCCCAAAATCCACAAACCTGACTGCCCCAGTCGACCCATTGTCTCCGCCTGCTCATGCCCCACCGAACTTATCTCCACCTATCTCAACTCCATTTTCTCCCCCTTGGTCCGGGAACTCCCTACCTACGTCCGTGACACCACCCACGCCCTCCACCTCCTCCAGAACTTCCAATTCCCCGGTCCCAAACACCTCATCTTTACCATGGACATCCAGTCCCTATACACCTGCATTCCCCATACAGATGGCCTAAAGGCCCTCTGCTTCTTCCTGTCCCGCAGGCCCGACCAGTCCCCCTCCAGTGACACCCTCATCCGCTTAGCCGAACTCGTTCTTACCCTCAACAACTTCTCTTTCAATTCCTCCCACTTCCTACAGACAAAGGGGGTGGCCATGGATACCTGCATGGGCCCAAGTTATGCCTGCCTCTTAGTAGGTTACGTGGAACAATCCCTCTTCTGTACCTACACTGGCCCAAAACCCCACCTCTTCCTCCATTACATTGATGACTGTATCGGCACTGCCTCGTGCTCCCACGAGGAGTTCGAACAGTTCATCCACTTCACCAACATCTTCCACCCCAACCTTAAGTTCACCTGGACCATCTCCAATACCTCTCTCTCCTTCCTGGACCTCTCTGTCTCCATCTCTGGCAACCACCTAGAAACTGATATCCATTTCAAGCCCACCGACTCGCACAGCTACCTAGAATACACCTCCTCTCACCCACTTTCCTGCAAAAATGCCATCCCCTATTCCGAATTCCTTCGCCTCTGCCGCATCTGCTCCCAGGATGAGGCATTCCACTCCCGTACATCTCAGATGTCCTCGTTTTTCAAGGACCGCAACTTCCCTGCCTCAGTGGTCGAGAACGCCCTCGACCGTGTCTCCCGCATTTCCCTCTACTCATCCCTCACACCCCCTCCCCGCAATAACAACCAAAACAGAATACCCCTCGTCCTCACGTACCACCCCACCATCTTCCGGATCCAACGCATCATCCTCCGACACTTCCGCCATCTGCAATCTGACCCCACCACCAAAGACATTTTTCCCTCCCCACCCTTATCTGCTTTCCGGAGAGACCACTCTCTCCATTACTCCCTTGTCCGCTCCACACTCCCCTCCAGCCCCACCACACCCGGCACTTTTCCCTGCAACCGCAGCAAGTGCTACACCTGCCTCTACACCTCCCCCCTCACCCCCATCCCAGGCCCCAAGAAGACTTTCTACATCAAGCAGATGTTCACCTGCACATCTGCTAATGTGGTATACTGCATCCACTGTTCCCGTTGTGGCCTCCTCTATATCGGGGAAACCAAGCGGAGGCTTGGGGACCACTTTGCAGAACACCTACGCTCGGTTCGCACTAAACAACTGCATTTCCCAGTCGCGAACCATTTCAACTCCCCCTCCCATTCCTCAGATGACATGTCCATCCTGGGCCTCCTGCAGTGCCACAACGATGCTACCCGAAGGTTGCAGGAACAGCAACTCATATTCCGCTTGGGAACCCTGCAGCCCAATGGTATCGATGTGGACTTCACAAGCTTCAAAATCTCCCATCCCGCCACCGCATCCCAAAACCAGCCCAGCTCGTCCCCGCCTCCCTAACCTGTCCTTCCTCCCACCTATCCCCTCCTCAAGCCCCACCCCCATCTCCTACCTACTAATCTCAATCCGCCCCCTTGACCTGTCCGTCCTCCCTGGACTGACCTATCTCCTCCCTACCTCCCCACCTACACTCACCATTACTGGTTCCATCCCCGCCTCTTTGACCTGTCTGTCTCCTCTCCACCTATCTTCTCCTCTATCCCTCTCCTATCCGCCTCCCCCTCTCTCCCTATTTATTTCAGAACCCGCTTCCCCTCCCCCATTTCTGAAGAAGGGTCTAGGCCCGAAACGTCAGCCTTCCTGCTCCTCTGATGCTGCTTGGCCTGCTGTGTTCATCCAGCTCTACACCTTGTTGTTTCGGGTCTAGACCCTTCTTCAGAAAAAGATTCTCAGATTCTCCAGCATCTGCAGTTCCTACTATCTCTAGACCTGAAATGTCAGCTTTCCTGCTCCTCTGATGCTGCTTGGACTGCTGTATTCATCCAGCTCTACACCTTGTTATCTCATGATCATTTCCTCACATGTTGTGACTGTGCACGAATGCCCATTGGATTTGAAAGGATGCAGTTGACCCAAACAATTGACCATGTTCATCTGAGATAACAAGGTGTAGAGCTGGACGAACACAGCAGGCCAAGCAGCATCAGAGGAGCAGGAAAGCTGACATTTTGGGCCGAGACCATGTTCATCTTTCAGGCTAGTCATCAGATAAAACATGTCTTTGAGCTGTGGATGGTTATTTTTGGATACAGGGCTTGGTTAAAGCTGCAGGTTTTAAGGAGCGTTTTCAATGACAAAGGAGAACGTTGCAGAGACGTTTACAGAGGGAATTCCAGAGCCCCGGCAGCAGAATTGGGGTTGCAACTGCTACCTCCTTGTTCACCTGCCTGAAACCTGTTGGTCTTCCTCTGCAAAAAGCTGTCAATGACCAAGTGCTGCAGACCTAGACATTGTAAGGACCCAGATGAAGTGGCCAAAGGCACATGAAAGCTTGGGGCTGCTGCCTCAGATGCTCAACAGGGAAAAGGCCAGTGACTTTGGCATTTCTGTTGGAGTGTACTGGGGGTATGGAAACAGTGTGAATTCCCTTAGCCTCTATATTGATATATCAGCTGGTGCTGGCAGGGTAGGCAGCACTTGGGTTCCTGAGTAGGGATCTTCCACTCTTTTTTTAACTTTTGCTTACCTTCTGGGGAGAGCTCGGTCATGGAGGAATTGGCAGCGATGGCATAGACGTGGGAGGTGATAGGAACGCAGCTTCGTCAAGGTCTGGAGCGTGGTGGCTGGTGAGCCCGGAGCGAGACTCTGGCAGCAACGTTGAGGAGATGGTTGGCAGAGGGGCAAGTACGTGACCTGGCATCGGCTGCTACAATGGCAGGGGCAACATCAGAGTGTTGCACTTACCACACAGTGTGTTTAGCCCATATGTCCCGCAAAGGACTGTGAGTCTTAATAGCAATATGAAAAGATCTTTACTGGTTATAATACAAATAAATGCTATAATAACGATTATGCTACAAACTAACAATTAATATGATAAATCTGACAATTAATACTGTAAATCTAAATCAGTGTCTTGTACTTTAACTTAACTTGGAATGACCATACATCACCACACTCGACTTTGACCTTGATCCCCATGGTGATGGTTGTCTGATCTTCCTCTCCTGGTGGTCCCAGGGTTGCCCCTACTTACAGTGGTTGGTCTCGAGTTACTGCTCCCAAGGGTGGTGTTGGGGCGATTCTTATCCATGGAAGCTTCCGCACCCCTTTGGGAGGATCTTTGATTCCCACCAATGGATTGATCAGGAATCGATTGCCCTGATTGATCAGACCCAATCAGGCAGTGCCATGTGGGATGGTGGGGTGGTCTTTGGTCCTCCATCTCTGAAAGTGTCAGGGGCACGTAAGTCAGGTGTTCCAGAAACAGCTCGATGTACCTTAATGTCCTGGTAAATAGGCTTCGTCAATTGTGTATTGTGCTGAGTGCAGCTGCAGCCTGCAGCTTGTTTATTTCAATATCTTTGCACAGATACTTTGGCCAATGCTCGGCTTGATTTCCCAGCATGCTTGGTGTATTATCTGATTCTGCCATTTTGAGTGGTTCATCCAGCTACAGGAGGTAGGCCCAGTGGCATAAGAGGAGTGGTGACTTCGACATTGGTTGTGTCCGGTGCTGGTGGCAGCGGCGACAAAGAGGTGGCAGAAGGGTTATGGACTCTCCTCAATCTATATTTATTTTATTCTTAAACTATTCAAAATGGTGTCGGATCATGGCAACAGTGGAAGACTTCCACTTCGTTTCACTGTAAAATACATGTGACAATAAAATAATTCATTCATCATTTGACATGTAATGAATATAGTAAATTGAACCAGTACAAGGCCACGTGGCACCAACTTCCATGAACCTTTTTCATTTTTGGATTGTGATTCAAATAGTAAAAGAATACTGATTTAACCCAAGGAAATTGTAGAATTAAGTGTACCAGGTTTAAACAGGTTCCTGGAATTTCAAGTGAGTTGCATTTCTATTGTTGCCTTGTTTGGAACAGCCAAATTTACAGCTAATAATAGTTAGGACTTAGGTTTCATTAACAGATGGACTAAAGCTGAGAAGATGGATATGTTCTGGTGGTGGTCGGCACCCTTGTACCAGACAGTAGCTCAGTTCAAGGTCAAATAGGACATACAAGTTCTGAGTGGTGTTGTTCACCTTGAGATAGCAGCAAGAAAGAATAGTCAATATGAGAATGGAGTTTGTTTTACGGTCAAAGACCTTTAATCTTCCCAATGTTTCACTGGAAGAAAGCGCATCACCTCAGAAGTGGATGTTGGATAAGCAATCTGAATCAGAGGCATCATGTGGTTATATGGCAACATGGTTCGATGACAAATGGGCTCAAGACATAATTAACTGAAACGACAGCAGAAACTAGTGTGGCATATTCCACCTAAAACTGTCACTCAAGAGAAGTGGAAGAAACAGGAAATGTTCAATCCAAATCCGAATTTTCTCCTGTTTACCAGGGGCAGGGGAAATGAACCAGGACAGATCTAAAAGGTGAAAGGTTCATGAACCAGCATTTTCATCATGTGAGAACAGAGTCTGGTCCTAGGATAAGTGGGCATACCACTAAGCCAATGCAATCACCCACCACTCCAACAATGACTTTCAGGCATTAAACATGCGATTAGATCTGTAAATAAACATTTGGCTAAATATCACAGGTGAGACAACACCAAATGGACAGTGAACAATGTGTCTTCTTGTTGTACGCCATCTGTCAAATGGATAGGAAGATTCATCTTATCTCCTGGTGTCAGCTTCTTGTCAGGATACTGTGGCACCAGTATCATTGAGTATTTCATCCAAATAACCACACTTTGATGTATGAGGCCATACAATCGGAGCTGTCTCTCACATCCTTCAGTCTCATACTGCTCATCTGATCTCCAGTGACCTTTCTGATATTTCATTATTTTTATCAGTTTTGGTTTAGAGCTATGATCTTAGAACTGTGAGCAATGGCTTGTATTAAAAACAAAAGAACAGAACAAGCTGTTGTTTATGAGGCGAGGCCTGAAAGTTAATTGCAGGTCAGGTCTTGATTGAAAGGATTCCCACCTCTTAGATACCAGAGGAGAGCGGTATGTTGAACCAGATAGCAAATGTTTGGCCTTTGATGAGATCAGTACCTAGAAATTAGTGCCACCAAGTCTGGGAGACCCTACGATCCAGCAAATGACACAGAAGTGACAGGGAGAGGCCAGAGCTTTGAACAGTGTTTCTGTTTGGCAGTTGATGCTACAGCATGAATATTTGTAAGTTTCCTGCCTCACCTCTCATTGTCAGTTCCTGGAAGTTCAGAGAATAGAAATGAAGTTATAAGCATCGTTGACTTCTGAGTGAACTAAAAAGTGAGCGACATCTTCAGCAAATGAACAGGAAACAACGACATATGCCTGTGGAACAACATATTGTGAAAACCAATTCAGTAATCTGGCAAGCTGTGTTTTTTTTTCTATTTATTTGTTAATTGTGTTTGCTTGTCTGTCTGCCTTTTGTGTGAATGGGGATGAAAGCAAAGGTTATTGGGTTTGAACACATATCAGTCAGACGACTTTGTTGTTTAGTTTTGCTCTGCAAAAATAACTGGATTGTTAATATTTTGCTAAGTCTTCTGTTTAAACCGATGTGGAGAATTGATTATTCGCAGAGTCTGGGATTGGTTATTCAAAAAGTTTGGTTAAGAACCATTGGGGTCAATTTTGATGGTCTTTGAAGATGTTATTTTTCCTGTGTTGCAAATACAGTTGTAGAAAGGCTGATTTGCTTCAGCTGTCTGCCTTCCTGATGTAATACTATATCATGCATCCAAAAAAAGAAACACATGAGCATAATACAGTGGAGGCATATATTTATTAAAAGTTGGTATTTTACAATAAAAGAAAATCCTTCTGAAAGGAAGGAACAGATTCAAAGCACTTAGTTAAAATCTGTACAAAAACAGTCGTGCCCAATAAACAACAAAAAACGTGCAATATACAGCACAATGATCAGAGAACCCTCACAGAGCCCCATGTTGCAGTGAACTGCAAAGTGATACTCTCTGTCTGTTCTCTTCTAACAGCATGTTCCCATCCTGAGCTCAGAGTACCACTTACAGCTACACTAGTATAAGAGTTCCATTCCCCGACACAGTCTTGGACTGAGACCTTTAACTCAATGTCAGTTTGTGCTTGAGGGTCAGTTTATTGGAAGCAGTTGAAAGAAGGGAGATAGATCTTTAGTTCATTGGGTTAGGTAGTGATGGTTTATTTCTCAATCATCAGGCTCCATATGGTTCTGCAATATTGCTCTTGACTGTCCACAACAGCTAAACACACGCATCAACGCAATGAGTGAATGGGTAGCAAAGATTTTCTCCTGGCCCAACAGAGCCCACGGATAGGGGAACCTGTGATGCTGTGATGGTACTGATGGACAATGACCGTCAGAGTAACACAGGTTTGCTGGATCCACGGAGTTTCACTCCATGAGAATGGGTCTACTTCAGGTGAATCTCCAACTTGTATGCAGTGGGGTGGATGAATGAGCATCCATATAGCAGGGCGTTACAAGTACAGTGTACCCCAGTGCAGGTCTGCCCACATTAATTTCTGCTGGTTTGAGAATAGTTCAACACTTGGGCTTCTTACCAAAAGTTTCCCATTTCCGCTGAAAACCAATACTCAGTGAGGTTCAATTCCACACGGCTGCTGCACGCCAACTCATGACACATGCAGAGGGCTAGTTCTTCACTTCGAATCAGATTTAGGCTTGGCACCCTTTCTAGCTCTGGACGGTTTGACAGATCAGCCTGTCCACACTTTCACCAATATCTTCGAGGATAACAGAATACTCATCAAAAATGGGAACCCTCTATCATCCATGGTGGTAGTGCCCAATTGCAGCAGATGAGATCTGCTAAGTCAGCAATGATCAGGAATGGGAGCTGGGACTGTCTGATTTGTATGGCTCAGCAATGCACTGGTCAACCAAGCGGGGTGCTGTGAGTATTAAAGAGCTCAGTCCCGAGTGGCAAGTCTGGAAGTTGTTCTATTCCTCAGCAGATGTGTTGAAGGGGCGTTCAGAGGACAGGTTTCCCAATCATTCCCAACGCCAATGTTTACTCCAACCATATCACTGCTGTGGCACGCTTCAACTCAGATCCTCTCACATTCTCTCTGGCTCCAGTCAACAGTCAATCACAATTTTCAAAAAAAAAACCCAGAAAACTCTTGATTCTTGGCTATTCCGAGATTCTTCTGTCAGTGTGAAGTTTAAAATGCATCAAACAAGTTCATCCAGGAGTGTGCCAATCGCTTGCTGTTGCTCAGGTGCTCCAGCAATAGGTTTGTTACACATCGGACAGACACAGCGAATTTCCAGCCATTTCACCAAGCACCTAGAGGACAGGAAAGAAGCAGAAACCAAATCCATCAGTGACACATGTTACAGTGGAAAACATTGTGTACAAGCAGTGTCCCATTGCTCTTAGTGAAACATTGCATGGAAACAGTGCAATATTGTATACGACACAATGTTGTACAGGGTCAAAGAAATGTACAGTGTGAAGCACTGTATTTCAGCAGTTCACTGTTAATCCAAGTAAAATACTGCATTCAAAAAAGACTTGAGTTCAGACCATGACTTCTGAATCTCCCAATGTACTTCACAGTCAATTAACTTTTTTTGCTGTGTAGTCACTTCTCAGACATAAGGAACATTGTACAAAATACAACACTGTGTGCATATAGTACAGTGTTGCATTGAACAAAACACTGTTACGAAGTGTGGAACTGAACAAAGAAAGTCAGCAAAAACATTATGACAATGTACAGAATGAAACACTGGGTCCAGGCAGTCCAACAGTGTGGGGGGAAGCAGTGGAAACAATGCGTTGGTGTTAGCAGTAATTCACTCATCAACATAAAGATCAGCAATTGAGTGAAATTTACTGCATTCGTCGATTTGAAGTCAGACTAATTTTTTGTGAGCTGCAGCATGTCATTGCTCTTTATTGCCTGCACTGCGTTGCTGTTCTGTCTGGTTTCCAGCTCTGTGCTATCACTGTGGCTAGTTTGCTGCACAGAGCTCACTATAACATTTCAGTGGAGCAAAACAGAATACAGTTTGACTCAAAGGCTACTCACTTCCTGTGAAAGGCGTGTTGACAGGGTAACACTCCCAACTCCTCTTTAATCTTGAAATCCTCTAAGCAAACAGCACATGTCTGCTGTGGAATAAGCAAAAACATTGAGGTTTTCATTTCACATGTGAGAACTCCATTAAAATAGACACCTTCAACAGGATACCCCAACATCATCAATCAACTACGGCATAATTCAGGGTTTGCTTCGAGGTAAACATTTTACTCTCAATTTCTATTTTGATGCAGCAAACTGCTGCAATTTTACAGTAAAACAGTCAAAGTCGTGACTTACCCCATGTAAATTCAGCTTTTTAGCATCACCTCTTGTTATTACCTGAAGAGACAGCGAAAGAAAGAAAACATGTTCACAGTGAGAAAGCTGTCCCGAATAGCAGTCCACAAATTCTTTGAGTCACAGATACAAGTCTACAGCTTCTCCTGCACCCTGAACACCAAGTTCATACATCCACATATTTCAGTCACGAGCACGACCAGCCCCACATATCCCAGATCCTGCCAGGCTATGGACATCTAATTTTGGGAGATGATCCCCAAATAGCACTGCGGTTTGTAGAGTCTTCCACAGGGGGCAAGAGGAGTTCTCTTGATGCTGCAGAGAGGGACTTCCTCCTATTGTGATTTAATTATCTAAAAGGTTAGTTTTAGTCTTTTTACCAAAAATCAAGATCTACTTGCCTTTGAGTGGGTGCAGCAAAGGTTCATTGGGTTGATTTCTGAGATGGAGAGGTTGTCTGAGGAGGGCAGAGAAAGTAGAGTGGGCCAAATTCTCTGGAGTCAAAACTGGAGAGCTGATCTTGTTGAAAACTGAAAAGGATTCTGAAAGAACTTGGAAGGGTAGAATTTTCCTCAGACTGTACATTAACATACAAGGGAACAGAGTCTTAGGATAAACAGTCAGACCTTTTGGACTTAGAGGATGTGAAATTTGTTTGGAATTTTCTGTCCCTGAGTGTTGTGGATGCTCACTCAATGGAGTATTTCAGAGCGAGACATGGATAGATCTTTGGGCACTATGGAACCAAGGAATATGATATTGTGACCGGGCAGATAAGTGGAGTTGAGGCCAATGATGCTATTAATTAATGGTGCCATTATGAGGTGCCATTTGCCTCCTCCTGTTCCAAGCTCTTCTGTTGGATCAGCCTGGCAATGACCTAAGTAGAGGTCAATTAAGTGCATGACGTGTGTGCCGCGCTGGTAGACCATCAAGCAACTCAGGAAATATTTGCATAGACTCTCTACCCACTCTTTCTTTTTGGAATACACTATCATCTGCAGTGCTAAAGAATTTGAGGCAGTTGAGAGGTGCATTTCTCATCAAATTGATGGTTGTTGGGAAAAAAAAGGAAGTGTAATTTTAGCCTCCTCCATCTTCCTTTTTCTCAATTTTGAAACATGAGAATTATGGACAGAAAACCTCCCAGTGGATAGACGGTCTGAGCGGGATCTGAGGCTCAGGCAGCACAATTTGAAGTTTGACGCTATCTTACGGTCGTTGTGATTTAGTTCCTATGGATAACAACATTTCTTTTCACAACCAATCCTGGTGAACTGAATAGGGAGAATACCTGGAAGGTGTTTCCTCTTCTGGGAGAGACATGAATCAGGGAATACCGTTAAAAATAAGACACAGATGAAGGGAAACACCTTCTCCCAGACAGTAGTCCGGTCTATGAAATTCTTTTCCACAGATAAGAGTGGAGGCTGAGTCATTGAATTTGTTGATTTTTTGATTGCCAAGTAAGTCAAGCATTAGAGGGACAGACAATGAAGTGGAATTGAGACCACAACCCAGATAAGCCACAATCTTATCAAATGGCAGAGTGGGTTTGAAGGGCCAAATGGCCTCCTTCTTCTCCTTGGTTCCTTGTTCCTACAGTCTATGTTGCAATTTGATTCTATTTACCTCTTTGTATCCGTATTTCTCATTGCGTGCTTGGTGTCGGAGTTTACTGAAAGGAAACAGGCAGATGATTAGCTGAAACAGTATTTCTGCAACCAGCAGAAGAACTCATGTAACTGACTGCCCCAAAACTTCTGCTGGAACTGGACAGTCTCTGTATGGAGGCTAGTTGTGGAGCAATCACATCTTAACACTAGCTGCAATCTAAACTGCTGCATCTTTGAGAAATCAATAGCTACTGCTGTGTAATCATTCAGATCATGTTTTAAAAAAATTTACAGCCATGGACTTGCACACACGTGGCTGAATACTATTTCTATTTGTGATGACCAAAACGTACTCATGTCTTTGCATCTACATTGTAACAAATTCTGTTACTCGACTATTTCATTTCATACAATGTGCTGTGGCATTTTGGTATGTACAAGCTGTGTGTGTAATTTAAAGAAGATAATAACGTGTTTTTGATTGAGGCAGGCAGCACCAGTACTAAATGCAAGTAAAAAAGTGTAAAAGCCAGAATATTATCTTCCAATCCTCAAAGCAACACTTGTCTATTTTGACCATAGCTTAGAAACACACAGCACTTTATAAACAAGGCCACAGCACTGAACTTCATTTGCCTGCAGGACAGATGCTTCCTGCAGAGGACAGGGATCCTTGACTTGCTGATTCTGATATTGAAGAATTCCTGATGCAGGTAGAGTGTACTGTTTAAAGTGGATAGATCGAGGGCCTCAACAGAGCAGATCAGATGGTCAGTGAGACCAGGACCAAGTAGGTGATCCTGTACATCGTCATGCTCTCAAGTGACGGTACCACTGGACAAGTCAGATATCAGAAGGAAATCTGACTTGATAGATAAATTTGAAAAAAACAATTTAGTTAACATGGTGGACACTCACTGAAACTGAAACTGAGGCTCAAGAGTTTACTTCACAGAAGCTTAATGCAAAAAGGGAAGAAAGAGAAAAAACAAAATCAAGCTATCTAAATATAGAACCCTGTTTGAAAGATTCTAAAAAACATAGCAAAATAAAATCCCATCCTCTTTCCTGATGCAATGTATTACAGAGACACAATCCCTGAGAAATTGCCCCTCTCCATCAAAACTTTAAGTTTGACTCATTCCTTCCGATAAACTGTGAAAACGTTTTACACGAATGCTCACAAAACTGAGAATGTAGACTTGCTGAAACTTTTGTAATCTGTAGATTTTAAACCAAATATTCCTGGTTTTGCAGTCTCACAAACTAAACTTTTATCCTGACCTAATTGTACTGTCTGTGAACCCCACGTACTGCCTTTCTCAGAGTGAAAACTAAATTTGCTTCTGACCCATCAGATGTCCTCCAAACTAGCTAAAACTAAAACAATCCTCGATAATATTCAACCAAAGGTAGGCTGATGGCCTTCAATGTACAGTTCACATATCCTGTCTTAAATCAACACAGTGAAAAATCTTTTCATCAGCACCGTAGGGGCTCCCTGCTCTCTGAAACATACTGGATCAGGACAGTGTTGCAGAAGGACTCTCTGATTGAGTGTTTTTTTAAAAAAAAACTCCTCATTAGAAGTAACCAACCTGTGTGCCACTATTTTAAACTCTAAACTCTAAAAATTGCATTGACGTGGAGTCATACAGCATGGAAACAGACCCTTCGGTCCGACCAGTCCATGCTGAACATAATCCCAAACTAAACCAGTCCCACCTGCCTGCTCCTGGCCCATATTCCTCCAAACCTTTCCCGTTCATGTACTTATCCAAATGTCTTTTAAATGTTCTAATTGTGCCCGCATCCACCACTTCCTCTGAAAGTCCATTCCACATGCGATCTCTGTGTGAAAAATTTGCCCCTCACATCTTTTTTGAATCTCTACCCTCTCACCTTAAAAATGTGTTGCCTCATCTTGAAATCACCCATCCTAGGAAAATACACCTATCTATACCCATCAGGATTTCATAAACCTGTATAAGGTTAACTCTCAGCCTCCTACTCTCCAGTGGAAAAACGTCCCAGTCTATCCAACCTTTCTTTATAAATCAACCCCATATCTGGCAACATCCTGGTAAATCTCTTTTGAACCCTCTCTAGCTGAATAGTATCATTCCAGGGTGACCAGAACTGGACACACTATTCCAGAAGAAGCCTCATAAATACAACGTCAACGTGACTTCCCAACTCCCTTACTCAAAGGGCTGAATAAATGAAGGCAAGTGTGCCAAGCGCCTTTTTAACTACCCTGTCTATATACTTCAAAGAATTATGTACCTGAGCCCCTCGGTGATTTTGTTCTACAACACTACCCAAGGTCATGAATTTACCATGTTTGTTGTACCAAAATGCAATACTTCACATTTATCCAATCTGAACTCCATCTGCCATTTTTCAGCCCACTGACTTAGGTCTTTCATGACAACATTACCTGTCCCTCAGAGCAGCAAAAAAAAAATGTTGATGACTTTATCAGGGCAATGAAACCAAGCAAATCAGGCACATCTAACAATGTATTATACTCAGTGTCTCAGTGCTTCAGTGCTTCACTATAAATGGCTGGAAGATAGCATGTGTCGTCTCTCATAACCTTCCAAACACCTACCCTATCGAAAGCCTCAAAAGGAATATGATTGCATGCTGTATTCAACACATCCCATTATTAAGGTCTGCCTAATATTTTAACCACACCTCACAATACCCAAGAGTCCTTACTGTGAATGGCATTTTCTTTGAACAAAAATACAAAGTGTTAGGAAGGAAGGTAACATCAAAAGCAACTCAAAAATTTCCTAGGCCACCAACTTAGAAAAATGTCCTATGTTGTTGATAGAGGAGCAATCAGGAAATAAATAAACCTTCTGTTAAAGGAGATACGGGGCAGGATTATCAAAAGCTGACGAGAAGGAAATGAAGAGGTTGGGAGGAAATTCCAAACTGAAGCCGTGGGATGGCTGAAGACTTCATTACAGATAGGGGGGATGATCAACAAGAAGACAAAGTCAGAAAAGGTGGGAGTTTGGAGATGGGAAATAGGTTAATTGAAGGTCTGGAAGATCAGGAATAGCAAATCTGTCTCAGGATTTGACCAAGAAGATGAGGTTGTCAGGACTGGGAGGCAGTGTCAGATAGTGGATATGTAGGTATTAAGTAAGTAAGAGATGGCAGCATGACGGAAATGTTTCTAGATTAGTAATCCAGAGGCTCAGATAAATGCTTTGGGAACAGAGCATTAAATCCTACCATGGCAGTTGGTAGAATTTTGCCTCAGTTCAGCAACAATGTAACGAGTATCAATTGTAATATAAACCAAACTGGTTTATTGGTGTTCATCAGGAAAGGAAATCCAGCATCTTTACCTGGTCTGGCCTGCACGTGACTCCAGACCATGAAAGGATATCGGTTGATATATTAACTCTTTGTTGCTTTCTGAAATGGCCTACCAAACCACTCAGTTCAGGGGTAATCTGGGAGGAGTAACAATTGCGAGATGAATTAGTGAAATTCACCATTCATGAAAGATGAAAGGAAAAAAAGGGCTGAATGTGGGACAAGATATGGATAGCATAGTTCTGGATGAGCTGAAGTTTACTCAGGGTGGAGAATGGGCACTTGGCCAGCTGCACATTGGGATACTTGAGGTGTTGAAAGTATGGAGGAGGGTTTCAGCAGCCAAACTCAGATGACAATGTTACAGAAATGGAAGTTGGTGGTTTTTTGAGGTGCAGAGTATAAAGAGTTGGAACTGGGTCTCCTAACTTGAAAGCTCTTCATCACTGTAAGGAAGAAACTTTACAGATTCTGGGCAGAAAAATCAATGGACATATTGAAGGTAGCCTCAGCATTCATGAGAACATTCTACTTTTTACCTTTGCACTCATAACAAGCAATTTCGCGAAGAGAACACCAAATCAATGGAGATTTTTATATGTAGCTAGGTGCTGTCGACTCTCCTGGTCTCCCCAAAGCATCATGAAATTTGTTGCAGTACTGAGTTGAACACATATTCAGTGGTTATTTTTGCAATTTATTCTCAGTCACTGTTGTTGCTGTCTTGGCATCTGTACTGACTAAACCTAGCAAAACAGAAGTCAACATCAATCAGGGAAAACTGTCCATTCGCTGATGTCATACCAAGACCAAATGAAAATTGTTATGATTGCTGTAAATGGATCATTTTAGTTCCAAGATCACTGCAAGAAGTCCTCAAGATAGTGTTCTAGGCCTAACTATTTCCAGCTGCTTGAATGACCTTCCCAACGCATCATCCTCCGACACTTCCGCCATCTGCAATCCGACCCCACCACCAAAGACATTTTTCCCTCCCGATCCTTATCTGCTTTCCAGAGGGACCACTCTCTCCGTGACTCCCTTGTCCGCTCCACACTCCCCTCCAGCCCCACTTCACCCGGCACTTTTCCCTGCAACCGCAGGAAGTGCTACACCTGCCCCTACACCTCCCCCCTCACCCCCATTCTAGGCCCCAAGAAGACTTTCCACATCAAGCGGATGTTCACCTGCACATCTGCTAATGTGGTATACTGCATCCACTGTTCCCGTTGTGGCCTCCTCTATATCGGGGAAACCAAGCAGAGGCTGGGGGACCGCTTTGCAGAACACCTATGCTCGGTTCGCACTAAACAACTGCACCTCCCAGTCGCGAACCATTTCAACTCCCCCTCCCATTCTGCAGACGACATGTCCATCCTGGGCCTCCTGCAGTGCCACAACGATGCTACCCGAAGGTTGCAGGAACAGCAACTCATATTCCGCTTGGGAACCCTGCAGCCCAATGGTATCGATGTGGACTTCACAAGCTTCAAAATCTCCCCTCCCCCTACCGCATCCCAAAACCAGCCCAGCTTGTCCCCGCCTCCCTAACCTGTCCTTCCTCCCACCTATCCCCTCCTCCCACCTCAAGCCCCACCCCCATCTCCTACCTACTAACCTCATCCCGCCCCCTTGACCTGT